AACTTTTTTGTATTCAAAATTAACTATGACAATGTATATTTATATTGAAACAAACTATGTTAAAGGGAATTATATTATATAACAAAGGGCAAGGTCACCAGAGTTCAACTATGTTTAAATATCAACTCAAAGTGCAGCATCAACCTTTTCACCACCAGTTCCCGCTTTTCCTCACAAATCCATAATCTGCACTATCCTTCAGAAGATTGGGACAAAAAATAGCCAAATCTTTTGAGTAAAAACTGAGAATTGACTCGAATTTTGTCTGTTGACTCCAAAATTAGGATTCATTGCCTGAATAATGAAGAATATACAAGGATATATAATGAAGAAAAAAGGTTCCACTTATAAAGCATGGCTATTTTTGTCCCAATCGGAAAGTGCAGACTTTAAACAGGTCGGAACCATTTTGTGAATTTCGTGATGAAAAGAGGGAACTGATGGTGAAAAGGTTAATAATATAATAAATCCTATATAAAAAGAATAAAATAATGGCTTTGTTTACTGCTGTTGTATCCCTTGTAATAAAAAAACTTACAGACAATGTTTTCACAGCAGAGTGCGAGTTAGTACTGATCACCAAGTGACGGTTTTTTGCTGGTTAGCGAAAATGTAAACAAATGACGTCACATGGTATGATGATTTTTTGCGCTTTAAGTTTTCGCTTTTGTTTCAAGCATAGATGTATAATATAAAAATAATTTTGTGTTTTTCAGATTCAATAGGGCGTCTCTTTTAAATGTTGGTTTTCTTCATAGCAAGTTAGACTGTGACTACTTAGTGATGCATGATGTTGACCTTTTACCTGTGAACCCTGACCTCCATTACAAGTACAGTATGGTTGAAATAGGACCACATCACATATCTTCACCTGAACTCCATCCTAAGTATCATTATAAAACTTTTGTTGGAGGAATTCTGATGATGAAAAATGAACATTTTGAACTGGTAAGTTGAGAGTATCATTGTTTGTACCATTTATTCTTTATAGGAATGTATCTTCTATTACGTTCCCTTGGATTACTTGGCAGTATTATTTAAAAATGTTAAAAGACAGGATTTCACTTGAAAAAGTTGTGTTTCCTGATGCATTTTTCAGCCATAAATGGGAACGTTTCTTTTTTTCCAAACAATGTGACAACCAATTCTGAGGATTCAACAACAGAAGACTTAGTAAAACAAGAACTTCTAATTACTTTCCCCATATGCTCCAATAGAGTACCACCCTTAGAATACCATACTAAGTATCACAGTTGCCATGACTAGGTTAACAGGTTGTAAACATCGCGGAATTAAGTATTTCATTCATTTTAACTGAAACTGAATTGAATCTTGACTATAAAGTTTACCTCTTATGAATAAATGGTACCACCTGCTTATTGACATCGACAGGTCTAATTGACGGCTCATCGCATTTTAGTATTGTTCAAAATGTGACAATTCCATTTTCTTAAGATGGGTGGTAAAGCACATGTCTGACAAAATAAGACTATTGGTGGTTGTGATTTTGATTTAATCGGTCATGAGCCGCAAGAATGTTTTATATTTTGTTAATCCTCAGTGCTCTTCAAGAAAATTACGAGTGACGTACAATGTGTGTGAGCACTCAGGGTCTCCCAAATAAAGGTAGTTGTTTATTGTGCATGACCACTTTTGAGGGAATTCCAGTAGTCATTCTCAGAGGTAAAAAAAACGCAGAATTCCTTCAGTTTCATAAATTAAACTTTGTTCTAAAAAAAAATTGATGATTTAGCTTTTCTTACCTCTGTGAAGGACTGCTGGAAATGTCTCAAGAACAAAGTCTAAAAAATTTACGTTGTGTGACTCTTACGGTGGAGATGATAATTATTTTTTTATCATGTCTTTGTTTCAGACTAATGGTCTTTCTAATAAGTACTGGGGATGGGGTAGGGAGGATGATGAGTTCTACGTAAGAATGAGAGAAGCTAATTTACAGGTAACTATCACGTTTTCACTGTTGTAGGTGAAAAAATAACACATCTGTAATAGAAGTGCACACAACCCAAATTTGTTATTCATTGTGTAGTGGATCATTTAAATACATATTGACACCCCTCTGTCATTTACGGAAATACATGCTCTACTACTGTAAAATCTGTATTAGAAGCTGAGTCTTCTATTAAAATGGTACAATGCAACAGAGGGGATGCGGCTTCTATTAAAGCATCTATATATACGAGAAATGGAGAATGTTTGCTCTCAATTGTTCAAAAAGAATAGGTGCGACTTCTATCAGAGATGCGGCTTCTAATACAGATTTTACGGTAATAGAACAAACTTGATAAGCCCTATATTAGAAAAAATTCATGAGTGAACAGAGGCATTCTGATAGATGTTTCCAACATTCCTGATTTAAAACATGCATGTGTTTGAAAAAAATTATTTAATATCTGCCATTGAATTACGCAGACATTGTAAAAGTTTTATGTACTCCTGTGTGCGAAGCACAAAAGGGAGTCTTTGCAGTTACCCTGTCTGTATGTCTGTATGTATGTATGTATGTCTGTATGTATATGTATGTATGTATGTCACTTTTTTTGTTCCACCGTTATCTCAAGAACCACTAATCAAATTTTGGTGAAACTTGGTACATAGATGCTCTGGGATAATGCGCAGAGTTGATTAGGTTTTGGTAAAAATCTATGAATATTAATTACCTAATTTGCATGATAATTAGCTGATTTTTAGCTGTTCCAAGACTGTTCCACTGATATCTGAAGAACCACTCATTGGATTTTGATGAAACTTGGCACATGGATGCTCTGAAGTAGTGTGCAGATTTGATTAGTTTTGGGTAAAAATCTATGAATATTTATTATCTAATTTGAATGATAATTAACTGATTTCAAGCTGTTCCATGACTGTTCCACTGATATTTGAAGAACCACTCATTGGATTTTGATGAAACTTGGCACATGGATGCTCTGAAGCAATACGCAAATTTGATTAGTTTTGGGTAAAAATCTATAAATATTAATTACCTAATTTGCATGATAATTAACTGATTTTAAGTTGTTCTATGACTGTTCCACTGATTTTTGAAGAACCACTCATTGGATTTCAATGAAACTTGGCACATGGATGCTCTGAACTAATGCGCAGATTTGATTAGTTTTGGGTAAAATCTGTTATTATTATTATTACCTAATTTACATATGATATCAATTTCGGCTTTTCCACTGATATCTCAAGTACTAATCATACATTTCAATAAAACTTGG